ATTCGTTTGTCCCAAGCATGTTTGTTCCTACTTCCTATACATAGAAAAGATAATTTACTTCCCATAACTTATTTATATATTCATACTAACTTGTGTCAAGTTTTTCAACAATCAATGATGGAAAAGAAAAATATAAAAGAAAAAAACATAAAAATAATGCAACAAACTCCAACCAGGCAAAGCAGAGTCATAACCAAATCAATATGTTGATCAAACCCACATGAAGAAATAACTGAACTCTTGAAACAATCATGTTTTCTTGCTATTTGCTCAGCGTAACAATGAAAAGCTCGAAACTTGAAACCCAAATTAAGTGCTATAGAGAAAATAAAAAATAAAAAATCAAGAATTGAGAAAAATAGAATCTTCATTGAGCTGATAAGATCCAAAGAACTTACAGAAGCTGGTGAAAAGATCTGAAAGATAGGAGAGAGATGCTAATGGCAGTGAGGATTTTAGCAAGGGAGAGTTTGGAGTAGTGAACAGTGGAAATTGGATAGCAGCTGAAAGTAGCCACCTATTGAGGGGTTGCCTACGCTATATAAGAATTGTCATGACCATATTGCCCCTGGTTGTGTTGTGACCAAAACCCCTATTTTTAGGCTTTTATTTTTTTGGTTGGAAAATATAATTTTATTTTCGGAAAAGTTTTATGGGTAACAAAAACAGAAAATAATAATATAGGTATTGTGACATTTATGAAGAACATAACTTAAAATAGTAAAGGTGTATAAGAAACTTCCTAAAGGTGACTAAATAATCAAGAGAATTTGTAAATATCAACTTCACTATGAGTCATCAGATAATATGAAGTCATTCATAATTTTCATTAATGTATAACATGCGTCTTAAATTAAATATATTGAAAATACGTATCAATGCATCAGTTCATGGATAACTCTATAAAATAGCATTTTGATGGCTTTATAGAATTTTTGTCGTGAATATATCCTTATTGACAGAATTTCCATTAATAACCACAATAGCTTATTTGTGTTTTTCCAAAGTAGTTTTAAAATTGTCAAATACATTTCATATTTATGACATAATATTGAATGTATGATTGTTAAGAGTAATTAACTTTAACGAACCTAATCATTAAATAATTCCGTATCTATATATATCCATATATATAATTGCTAGCTAATCATTAAATAAAACCTCATAAATAAAACATAATTAGTAATCAACCTGTGCATTTGCACAGAAACGAATACTTTAAAAACATAAAAATATATAAAAAGGATCATAATTTAATTCATAAAAAAATTTGAATTAAGAAAATAATTCTCAAAATTGATTTTGATCAAGTAATTGTTATGGAAGAGCTGTTACAACCATTTTCTTTATGCTAATACACCCGGCCATTTTCATGAGTGGGTGTGACTTTTTTTAGTACAATTTTGTAATTTCCTTGATTGGTTTATGCTTATAATTTATGACATTCAATCAAGTTATTTTGTAACTTAAAAATGAAATTGAATGTTGGAAATTTTGGAGGAAGAATAAAATTTAATGCATGAAAATACAATTTAATGCATGGTAATAAAATTAATACTTTGTTGCTTCTCTTTATATATATATAGATAAATTTTACCTACATGGCACTTTCCTAATACAATAACTGTTACAATTTATTAGTATTATTATTATTATTATTAATTATTAGTTATTATTATTATTATTATTATTACAACATTAATCCACCCTATCTCATCAATGATAAAGTATTTCCTTGCAATTTTTTTGGGCCAATTAAGAAAAAAAAATGTTACGTTTTATATTAATTGACTAATAATTATATTTTTTATTGTATCATATAAGTGACAAACTCCTATCTTCCTTTTATCACGGTATCTCTAGGGAAGTGCATGGAGACTAAAATTAATAATTATATTTTACACTAAATGATATATAAAAATTACATAAACATAAAAAACTATATTGTAATAACTTTTTGTTCATGTTATTTATTCTAAAATTAATATTATATTTCCTTCTATGATTAAGCGATTGTTTTTTAAATAAATTAATTTATTTTAATACCGAGTAAATTTTCCTAAAATTCATAAATAATTGTTATAATAAATTTAACATTTTTGAGCTAATTAATTAGTCATAGTCCCTCAAAATTACAAAAAAAATTATATTATTTATTATATTTTATGAAATCAATATAGTGATTCATATGCAATCAAATCATTATGTACTATTTAATATAACCGATGATCGAATTTTAAAATATAATACATCTATCTAACTTATAATTTTAATATTATATGCATAAATATAATTTATAATACCATTTGTTTACAATATAGTACCATTATCTAACTTATAATTTTAATATTATATGCATACAAATAATTCATAATATTTTATTTAAATCTGTACAAATGCACGAGATCGAATACTAGTATATATAATTGCTAGCTAATCATTAAATACAACTTCATAAATTTTACCCAATAAACTTTACCTATGTGGAAAATCATTCAATAAAACCTAATAAATAAAATCTAATAAATTTTACCTATGTAATATTTATCCACCCTATCTCATGTATGATAAAATATTTCATTAGGTTTATTAAATCATATAATAGTTATTATTAAAATTAGTAATTATAGTTAACACTGAATGATATATGGAAGTTACATAAATATAAAAGATTTTATTGCAAAAACTTTTTGTTCAAGTTATTTATTTTAAAATTAATATTATATGTTTTTATCTAATTAAGTGATTATTTTTTAAATAAATTAATTTTTTTAAATGTCATAGTAAAATTTCTTAAAATCGTATAAGCAATTGTTATAATAAATTTAATATTTTTCAGCTAATTAATTGGTCATGATGCCTCAAAATTATAAAAATTACATTATTTATTATATTTTATGCAATCAATATAGTGATTCGTATGTAATCAAATTGTTATGTACTATTTATTTTTACCAATGATCAAATTTTAAAACATAATACTATTATCTAACTTATAATTTTAATATTATATGCATAAATATTACTTATAATAGTCTATATTTAAAATATAATACTATTATTTATAATTTTAATATTATATGATTACAAATAACATATAATGTTTATTTACATTATAATACTCTATATTTAAAATATAATACTATTATCTAACCTATAATTTTTATATTATATGTATACAAATAAGTTACAATATTTATTTACATCTGTACAAATGCACATGGTCGAATACTAGTTCAATAATATATTATTAGACCATGCGAGGAAAATTAGACAAAATACAATAAAAAAGATTTGCCTATTTTTGTTTTTAAACAAGATGCAAATTGCTCCCTTCCCTTTTAGTTCCATCAACACCGAATTGAATGTAATACAATGTTCTTACTTTTCTGTGCAAAACACAATGGATGTTTACAAAAGAATGTAACGGTGCATTTGTTTTGAAGTGGAAAACGTAATTTATGTTATCATTTTATTTTTTTCTCTTAATATATTTATTACAATTAGGTAGCTCAAAATGAAAAGAACAATAGTATACTTTAGCATCAATTAAAGGTACGGTGCACTTGCCCAAAAGAGAGAATTAGAAAAGAAAGTGATTTGGCCTTAATGATGAAGAGTGTGAATTTATTTGAGAAGGGTCAAAAAGTGAATATAGCATGGCGAGTGCCTAGACTATCTTTCGTTTTATGGGAGTGTGGGCCTGAACTCTAAACTATTTATTTAAAACAAACTCTAAGGGGGCGATTGTTTACACTTTCTACAGTAAAAATACCAATCAAAACTCAAATTTAACTCAACTTTAACTCAACCTCACTATCTCTCATATTATCAATAAAATTAAATAATATCAACCAATCATTCTTACACATCACATCAACTTTAATTCACTATTCATCCACTCACATAATTTTAACTAACTATCCCTTCCAATCATTTTTCTCCTACTTTACATTAAATCAACTTTAATTATTTTATTTAAATATTATTTTAATATATTTACTAACAACTAACCATACCACCTTTTTTTAAAAGTAACTATAGTTAAAAACAAACCAAATAAAAACTAGTTAAATTCATAAACAATCACCCCCTAAGTTTCTAACTTAAGTTAATCAACTACAACCATTTTTAAATTTAATATTATATCAAACAAACACTAATTATTTTTCGACCAATTAGTACATGTCACGGAATTTTATTTTATTTTATTTTTAATCAATGATGATACGGTAAATTTCTTATAAATTTTCAATCAACAATTCACTTTCTTTGTCTTTCCTTGTCAGTCCTCACTACTTTTATTTTCCCTCTCCACCTAATACAAATGTCTCTTTCCTCTCAACTCCCCATATATATACCTACAGAAAGTCTATGGAGTCATCGGATGGCTCCCTTATGGAGTCATCCATAACTTTATGTATTGACACGTGTTTAATGTGTATTTATTGCAGGACACGTGTCAATACACTATATCTCCCGGAAGCTTGCCCTCCTCTTCGTTCAATTCCACATCCTCCTCGCCAAAACAATGGTGGGCTCGAAAAACCGTCCTCCTCGCCATTCCACATCCGACAAACTGTCTTCCACAGTAAGCAAAGTAAGATTTTGGGGATTTTTTTCAAAATTTTGAATTTCTTATTGAATTCGAGATTTTTCAAAATTTGATATTTGGTTGATGCTATTGCACTTCGAATTTGAGTTTTATTTCACCAATTACGAATTTTATTGATAAATTAGGGCTATTTGCATGTCTAGGGTTTTATTGATTTATTTGAGTTTTATTGGTTTTGGTATGTTTTTTTGATCAATTGTTGCTGGTGTTGTTATTTTTTTATTTGAATTATCTGTTGAATTTGAGTGGGCAATTGTTTGTTTGGTATTGGTACTGGAATCACACTTCTCGTTTTGAATTATTCTATTGAACAATCTCAACTACAAACACTCTCGCTCCCCCATATCCCCAAAATCCCGTCTCCCCCAAATCTCTCGCTCGGCCTCCATCTCTTCTTGCAGGTAAACTCCCTCAGCCGCCGTCCGTAATCGTCGGTGGACGATCTCCTCCGCTTATCCATGGTCGCGGCCCTCCCGTCCTCTGTCGTGTCGTCACTGAATTAGGGCTAGGGTTCCGGTGGAATCAATTTCCATTCGAAGGCCGCCAGAATTCAGTGGTTTCGGGGCATGGCGGGGTGCGGTCGCGCGTGGATGATGCTTGTGTTGCTTAAATCGGCTTTGGCCAGGGCGCCTCTTCTCAGCCAGTTTTGGAGGGTTGTCGTTGGTGGTCTTCCGGTTTCCGCAAGGGTCAGGTCGCCGGCTCCTCGAGTGTGCGGGGATGGCGGGTCGGGGCTACTCCTAGCGGGTCGAGTTGATTGGAGGTGCTTCGTTCGGGCATGGTCGGAGCGGTTGAGCAGGGAAGCCACTCGTCCCCTTTCTCCCCTTTCTCGGTTTCTGAGTTTTTGGGGGAGGCCGACGGTCCCCGGAGTAGGCTAGTGGTGTTAGGCTGCTTCGGTTAGATGTCGGATCGGTCAGTGGTGTTAGCCGGTGGGGTGGTGTTCGTGGCTTTTTGCGACTGGAGAGCGGGTCGTGCTCTCGGTTTGTTTTTGCGGCTTCGGTCATCGTCTTGCTAGGCCTTATGCAGTGGTGGGCGTAGTATCGGAGCTCCGGAGCTCTCCTCGG